TTGAAATGTGATGAAAGAACAGTACTTACTTTGTTATGTGTTTTTAACAAAAAACCGCTAACTGATGAATAGGATGGGGAGCCTAACCAAAATTGATGAAATTTAGCTTCTTCGACGTATAGCTAAAAGAAGATGTGAAGGTGGAAGACCTGATACCAGTATTTTTCGTGGCATACCACCCACCTATGTTGATTACCCGGTCAATCCGGCATCCTTAGTGTCAGTTTAATTTGGTGTGTAATTTATGTTGTGGATCTCAGAGATTAGTAAAAAACAAACAGAGAGCAGTGGATAGAAATCTCTCGAGAAAAGAACGGAAGACGAAAGAAATGAGGCGAAAATTCATGAACTTATTAGAATAACTGGTTACAGGAGAAAAAAATCTTAAATTCCAAAAAAAAAAAATTAGATTTCAGGCTTTTATGCGCTTCCACAGTGGTACATTTGCTTCCATTATTTCGTTTTTTTTTCAGACTTGTATGCTTTAAATGCGAGACAGAAATTTATTTGCTCCTCGAGCCTCGTTTCCAGTCGCTGAAGGAACATTTTCATTGGTTTTTTCTTTTAAAATTTTTGATCCAGACATTGTTGTTTTTCGGAGTCTGTTGTTTTGTTATTCAGAGTTCTTGTTGATTTTTTTGTTGATTTCCATATCTGAGTGTTCCTGGATTCTCAGCGTTATAATGTTATAATTTGTCGTATTTTTGTTTTCTAGCCTACCTCAGGTATCGGTGGCAGTGAAAAAAGGATCGAAATTCGAGTTGATTTCTGCATCCAAAAAAAATTGATTTCCGAAATATGGCTTAAATATTAGTTTTAGCTTGAACTGAATTTTTTTGTTTCAGTTTTACACAAAATATGTGGATTATTCTTGAATCATACAAGCTGCTGTTGTATAATTCCAAAGCCATACAACAGATACAGTAACAAATCAGTATAAATTAGTGAGCGTATAATGGCGCGAAACTATATTTGAGGAGATTTCCACACCAATTGTCCGAATGGTCTTGGTATTCTTGGTTTATGTGAAAAATGATGATGGCCACAATGATAATATAGCGTTTTGGGAGAATGCTTGCAACAAGTGATACAATATGTTAGATTATATTTGTCGATAATGATGATTCTGAGGAATCAATTCATTCTCTTGTTTTTCCTTCTTTTTTCCTTTTTTT